AGTTTATAGTAATTTTATATGTTTTTTTTATAATTTTATATATATAAAAATTTACAAGCAAAATAGTGTAACAAATCGTGTGACTGTTATTAGATCAAGATTATGCATTACATGATTTGGAAATCGGTGATCATCAAATATTTACTAAGTATTTGACTATCAAATAATTATTTGATTGTGCCGAGCACTAGTTCTAGTAATACTTCCAGTTCCAGTGAAATTCACTGGACCGGTCTAGCAACAACACTGGTCTATAATATTTGCTTGTCTGAATTAATTATCTGCGAAATAAACCTAATTTGTGAATTAATTGTCGGTAACTAATGTTTGTTGGTAAGTTGATCGAAACTGATTAATCATTTATTATATATCATCCCACTAATTATTGAATATTTATTTTATTTATGTTAATTTTACTCAATTAAGTTTTATTTTATCTAATTAATTTGTGAAAATTCTATTTATACTTATTATTCTACTCTGCTAAACAAGATTTATTATAATTTATTAGTTATATTTATTAGAAGCCTCTTGCAATGCAATTTTCCATCCTGTTTTAGTAATTCCCACCAATTCAAATTGTTTATCATTTAATTTACATATCTGCTTAACTTGAATGGCATGATCTTGAAATTTTGATAAACATGCTAAAATTTCTCTATTCGCATTTTTAGCTTTATCCATATTAGTCAAAAATTCTTTAAGTTCGGGAATACATCTTAAAGAAGTTGTTAATTCTTGTGATAAGTTAGGCAAAATCAGAAATGGCATAAAATAAGGTTGTGAAGAGATAGAAAATAATAATTGTGAAGAGAAATTTGATAGTATGTATAAAGGAAAATTTGGTAATACTGGTAAGGGAATATTAGAGTAATGTGAAAAAAAATTAGTTGATGGTTGTAGTGAATAATTTGAAAAATTAGATAGCATTTGCGAAGATGGTTGTGAAGGAATTTGTAAGGACATTTGCATAGGCATTTGTAAGCCTATTTGTGAAAAAGGCATTTGAGAAGACATTTGTGAAGGCATTTGTAGATGCATTTGTGAAGGTATTTGTGAAGATGTCTGTGAGGGTATTTGTGAGGATAATTGTGAGGATAATTGTAATGGTAGTTGTGAAACTGGTTGTAATAATTGTTGTAATGGAGATTGATTTGAATTAGATATTCCTCTTACTTTAGGTGGAGATGTAAATATTGCATAACTAGATGGTGTGTCAATATTTGCTAATCTGTTTTTCTAATTGTTTTTAATATGATAAAAATATATAGTATATATTTAATTCATAAATAAATAAATATAAATAAATACTCTTACAATTGCTCAAGCCCAAGTAGTATAATGCATTCCTGATAGTTTAATATGACCTGTTTTAGTAACCCAACAGGAACCTTCGCAATTAGCACAAAAATATTTTTCTCGAATAGTAGATGCTATAATATGCTTATCATTATCAAGTTGAGATTCTTTAGGTTTTTCACTAAATAATTGTAGTTTTTTTATTTAAATCATCATCACTATTAGGTTCTTCAGATCCCTAAAATAGTATCATAATTAATAGAGTAATAAGAATTTTTTTAAAAAATTAATATTATAAATTATATACCGATCCATGTAATCATTTTTTTGAAGAGTTATTTTGTATTTGAATATTAATAAACACATCCTTTTTTTTATTTGCAGCTTGATTATAATTCTCAGTAAAACTTTTAAAATCCTTTTCATCAATAATTTGAGTTCCCGTTCCAGTTTCTTTTGCTACTTTATATGCTAATACATAATCATTTTTGGTAATAGAGTATCATTTAGTTAAAGTTGAATATGCGAAAGAATTTGATAATGAAATTCATTACAAGAATTTGCTAAAATATTCAATCGTTTGGCAGGTATTGTAATATTATCTTGATTTTTAATATATAATTTAAGTAAAAATTTATTGCTTTTATACTTATTATTCTTAGTATCTAACTCTTCTAACAGTCTATTGAAATCACTATTAGCATTTTCTAAATCTAATTCTTTAACCTCTTCATTTAAAAAATCCAAATTATCACAAACTGGTATATCAGTATTAAAATTAGTATAACCAAATCTGTCAGTCTTTGTATCAATATTAAAAGATGTATGATCATTGAAAGCTATATGATTATTGTTGGTCTCGAATATATTAGTAAAATACTTGTTTGTTGCTTGTTTAATAGGTTTAGCTAAATCTGATTTTGTTGATTTAGCTTTACCCATACAATACTATTTGCTATTACATGTTGAGCAAAATAAAAATTTAAAATTTTTAAGAAACTCTATATTATAATTATATTTTTCTTTTGAATCTTCTAAAGTTCAATTTTGGTTGTTATTAAATTTTTCATTATAATGAATTGTAAAAGCATAAGGAACTAATTTTGTACGATTTCTTGTTGTAGGTGATATATTTTTATCACATTCACATAAAAGTTTTGAAGAATCTTCCTTGCAATACAGACATTTTGCACATAGGTAACAAGTACCTATAAGGTATTCAACACTATCCATAATAATTTTATCAACAAAGAAGAAGCTATTTTATATTAGTTTTCACTATACATTTACAAATAAATCCTACAATCATTTACAATTGCATAAAATTATGCACAATCACATATGTACAATCATGTGTATATGCAATTGATTACAATTGAACAATCAAATCAAATATGTAGTGAATCTACAAATTTGAACAAAGTCACATTACTTGCAAATGAGATAAGAAGTTACTAAAAATATCTTCGCTTATAGTATTTTTAAAAATACAAAATATTTATTAAATAGGAGCTAAATCAAGTTTTTTTTAAAGCTTTGGGTGAAAGTACCCTAGCAACTACCTGATAAAATTTAGTGAAGCTTTTTTATTTGAATTCTATGTATCATAGAATCAAAAATAAAAAAAATTTATTAAATTTTGATCAAATGGTTACCAAGATATCCTTACTTAAAATTTATACTAATATTATAATGAAAATTCATGATACCACCTTGATTTTGAAAAGATTGGTCTAAAGTGATTACTGTGTAATAATAAGGTGGTTGGATAATATATTAAAATTTTGCTTTTTGAAATATTAACTCAAATAAACAAGAACTCATAGAGTAACTACATTTTTTCATTCTTGTACAGCAAACAGATTTGTTTTTTTTTATGTTTTTTTTTTAAAAAAAAGCTTTGAGCGAAAATATTTGATAAATTCTTTTTATTTGAATTCTATACTTCCATAGAATTCGAATAAAAAAATTTTCATTGAATTTGATTAGGTTATTTCTAAAATATCTTCGCTCAAAGATTTAGGGAAAATTGGCGCAGCTTAGTTAAAAACTTTGTGCAAAGATATCTCGGCAACCACCTAATCAAATTCAATGAAATTTTTTTCTTTTGAATTCCTATAGATCTATAGAATTTATATAAAAAAATTCTCATCAAATTTGATCAGGTGGTTACTAAAATATCTTCGCTCAAAGATTTAGAGAAAATTGGCGCAGCTTAGTTAAAAACTTTGTGCAAAAATATCTCAGCAACCACCTAATCAAATTCAATGAAATTTTTTTCTTTTGAAGTCCTATGGATCTATAGTATTCATATAAAAAAATTCTCATCAAATTTGATCAGGTGGTTACTAAAATATCTTTGCTCAAAGATTTAAGAAAATTTGGTGCAGACGATAAATATTGAAAAAAAAACTGTGCAATGATATCTCAGCAACCACCTGATCAAATTTGATGATTTTTTTTTATTTGAATTCTATAGATTCATAAAATTTAAATAAAAAAAATATTCGCTGAGAAATTGCCTATAATCACGCACAATCACGTACAATCATGTACAATTGATTGCAATTGAATGCAGTGACCCACAGATTTTATCAAAAGTCACATCAATTTGCAAACAGCGATAAATAGATCAGTGTTGGGCAATTGGACAAGTAGGTTGTCCAATCAAATTTAAATTTCTAAAATTGGCTGTAATTTTTTTAGAAATAAGAAATCTCTGTTCAGAGTCAAGCAAACTAGATAATTAGGACAATAATCTACTACTAACTTTTATTCTATATATGTCAATAAATCAATGGACACTAGACAAATTTATATGTCTAGTGTCCAGTGAAATTTACTAGACATAGAAGGCTGCCCAACTCTGAAATAGATCACATTTTAAACTACCTGGTTAAATAACTTAATATCCCTAATCACAATTTTTGAATTTGTATGTAATCATTATAACATTTTCTGATTGTACAGTATCATAATTAATATTCTAATTATGAGATCATCTAAAGCCAGGTATATAGTAATTTATATGCATTACATTATTTAATTTAAGTAATAAATTTAAAAACTAACTGGCTTTAGATGACCTCCAATTATAATATCAGTCTTCGATATGTATAAAATATCGATTATAACCAAAGTAATTTATAGTTACCCATATAACAAATATCATAATTAATTTCTGCATGTCTCAGATCAGTTCTAACCCAATCAAAAACGTTAAAGCATACTAACTCAGAAATAAATAGTAGAGAAGATTGCATTTTATAAAGTATCAATTCACATTGTTAGATATAAATATTGATAAAAAAAAGTTTCTTAACAATATAAATTCTTCAAATCCTTTACAACTAATATTTGTATTGTTTTTAAAATCAATACTTGATTTCCAATTATATAGGACAATATGTAACACTATGCAGAAAAGAGAACCTCAAAAATTTTTAATGTACATAGTGAGACAGTTTATTTGACAATACAAAAGCGGGAGGTTTATTTTGAACATTTACTCATAACAATAACAAAGCCAAACAATACATCTTAGTAGCTCCAGACAAATAATTAGATAATAATTTAATGAGTTTTGAGATAATCTAATGTGTTTGATACAAGTTTGTTATATTCTTGTTGCATAATAGTGCAGAATAAATTCTCAATAAATCAAAACAATTATTTTAATAATTCATTAGACCAATCAAAAAAAATTAAACAAGGGGTTTGAAACAAATTTAGTAACTCTATTTAGAGCCCAATTGTCATGAATTAGCCCATATGTATTTATTTAAACCTTCAAGTAATTCTTTATATAAGTCTATTATGTGATAAGATGCTTCTCTAATTTTTAGCATCATTTGACTTAATTTGAAATTACTATTACTCTAAATTGTTCTATAATATAATAGTTTTTTCACAAATTCTTAGTATCTATAATTTGATTTTGATTTAACTTGTATTCATTTCAAGTATTTAGCAATTGCTCCTGTCTAATAAAAATTATAACTATTTAATTTTGAAACTAATTAAGCAAACATTTAATATAAAATTTTATTACTTACCCAAAAATATGTGAAGCTAGCCAAAGTTTTAAGGCTGCTTTGAGAAATAAGATTGATTCAAAAAATTGAGAATCTAGGCTTGTACATTTTTTAGTAATAGTAAGGCCTGCTAAAGAAAAGAGTTGTTCAGATGGTACAGATATTGCTGGGATGGCTAAATATTTCCAAGCAAGTTTTGCAAGAATTGGGTAGTCAATTTTTCTTGATACCCACTATTCAAGTATACAGTCTACTCTTTCTATAATGAACCCTCGGTTCTGGCCAAAAAAAAAGTTCATTATATAGAATTACTATGTTTTCTTAATAGC